AAAAAAAAACCAGACAGACATGGATTTTTAATTACTAAATACTCACTGGCACACACACTGGCGTGTAGTCACTGATGCCCATAAATACTGACATATACTCATCAACAGGCACACAAACTAATGCTGCATCCCATACAAAGACTGGCACACAATCACTAATGCATACACACTCCCTGACATACACACACATTGATCCATACTAACACACACACTGATCCACACTGACACATTGATCCACACTGACACACACACTACAAAAATACACACCAAACACACTCAAAACTACATCCTCAAATATAAACACTCTAAGAATCAGTACAATTAAAATAAAATGCCTGACTGGGTGCCTCTGCTCACTGAGCCTACCTTGCTCCTTCCCAGCAGCTTCCCTCCAGCTCTCTCACAGGGCTCCCTGCCTGACAGCACTTTACACATAGGAAGCAAGACTTAGGAAGACCCGTGTGGGCTGCCCTGCTCTGCCTGATTGCCAGGTCACATGCTTCCTGGGTGTAAAGGCTGTCAGGCAGGGACAGAGACTTCCATCCTCCCTGCACTCACTCCAGGCCCCTGTCAGCTGTCTGCTCAGTGTCTCACTCGCAAGCAGCATTGAAAGTTCAAATTACTGCACCTGGTGCTCGCGAGTGGATAAAGGAAAGCCTCTTCAAAAAGGTAAGAGGTGACCTGTGCTCCCCAGTACCCCCAATGTGAGTGTGTGTACCGGGTTGGGGTAGGAAGGGCTGCTGCACTGTGCAGCCCCAAGTGCCCCGGTGGGCCAGTCAGGCCCTGCTCTTAGGATAGTAGCAGTGTATTAGTATACGTATCACCAATTCTTTAAGGGGCATGTAATAAATGCTTGATACCTTTATATCTAAATAAACCCTCAAAATGTAAGAAAAAGGATAATAAACTTATTAAAACAAACAAACTTTTTATTATCTCCGTGGAAATAACGGGAATAAACAGTATCACTATTCAAGTAAATCAACAAACACTGTCATATAGTTACCTAATGACATTTAGGTTAATCTCATCGATAAATATCTGATACATAAAACATTAGATTAATAAAAGCATAACTGATTAAAAAAAAAAAAATCTCTGAGCACTCTGAACGGACGATTGTCTGCTATTAAGTGTGAGGCCCCTACACTGAAAATGTCTCGAATTCAGAGATAAACAGAATGATTCTGCTCTTCAATAAGATGATACAAGTAGGTGAACGATAAAAAAATATGTGTACCCGGCGGGCAGGGAGCTCTAAAACCCACCTGACCGATAAATAAAAGCTAAGGGAGCTGCAATGGGACCCCAAGTCTGAAGAAACTCTGGGGATAAGCCAGAGAAACTTACCCAGTCTGCTGTATCTCGCGCCAGGCTGGGGGAGCACGCCAATTTGCCCGCCAAAGGTAAGTTGTGTGTGACCACTTCGGCTGATCATAAACCGCTGACTGATTCTGCTGGGTGAAAGAGTTCACACTGGGGCTACAGTTCAAAGTATGAAGGAGAGAGACTGGGAGTCAACGCGTTTTGTCTATAACCAAGACTTTATCAAGACTGAAGTCTATCATGTACATACTGGGTATATATACTGTAGCGGAACGCCAATATTAAATCCACGAATTCCGCTGGTTCAGGAAGTAATCCACAGTCAAGCGCTGGAAAAAGCAAGGCAATATCCCAAACCTCCCAGTAACCGGATGAAACACAGTTCTGAGAGTCAACTGAGGTCTTTATTTTCAGCTCCACAATTTATACAAGTCCCCATGCAATGGGTTTCCTGAGTCCCCTCCCAGGGGCATTCCCAGAGGGGACTATATGGGGGACTTACTGTACAGGGCATTTCTCCCATCAGGCACTGCTGCACGAGAGGGGTCCTCCCACAGGAATGTACCGTTTAGTGGATTATCCCTCCGTGCAGCAGAACCGACAATTTACATTAAAATCCATAACTCTTTGAATATGCAGTTCATTTAAATGAATGGACGTTCGGTAGATAGCTGGGGTCTGAGCGCATCATTCGTGAGATTACCGCTCAGATCCCAGCTAAACCAACCGAATGCCGCACGAAAAACACATTCATTAAAATACAGGTTCAAAATACCGATTGCCTTCCAGGGAACAAAATACTCCCGAATGGCCTGGAAGCTCAGCGGTGTTCGCGCCGTTGAGTAGCCGTTTTTAGTACCATGCGCTCGACGACCAAACACCGCTGAGGGAACAAAGGATCCAAGATGGCCGACTGCCGCATGGTCGGTAGTCGAATGGCGGCCACCTAGGAGAGCCTCTAATTACCGATTGCAACATTGTTGCAATCGGTTAACAAGTGCCACACGCCTCTAAGTGTGTGGGCTACTACATGGGGGTATTTTCAGTTCACGAACGGCCCGCAAAAGTGCCGTTCGTGAAACGAAAGAAAATACAATACATACAGCTATCTGCATTCGGCAGATACCACATACACGTTAATTACAACCAGCATACATTCTACATAGTTAAGCACATATCCCACAACCATACGGGCAACTCTTAAAGGAACAGTCTCTTTATAGTGTCCAAGTGGCTATGTTTGCCACAATGCTCCCCCAGAACCAAGCCGGCATACACAGTTTGATCCCAACGGATCGGCTTGGGGATGTCCGGAGGAGTGCTCACAGATCATTTCTCAAGGTCTGTTTGTCTAGATAACCCGTCAGCATTACCGTTTTGTTTCCCAGGGCGGTAATGGATTGTAAAGTCAAAAGGCTGCAGCGCCAAACTCCAGCGCAGCAGCCTGGCATTGTCTCCAGCCACACCAACGGGTTGTGATCTGTGAGCAAAGAAAAGGGTTGCCCATAGAGATCCGGCTCTAACTTTTTGAGGGCCCACACCACGGCCAGGCATTCTTTTTCGATGGCGGCGTAGCTTACTTCTCGGGGTAACAGTTTCCGGCTCATATATGCTACGGGATGTTCTCCGCCCTCTGCTCCAACCTGGCTCAGTACTGCTCCCAATCCAAACATTGAAGCGTCTGTGTGGACAAGAAAACGTTTAGTTGGATCAGGAGCAGCAAGTACAGGAGCATTTGTCAGAGCCGTCGTCAGCAGGGCCGTCTTTAACGCGGTGCAAACGGGGCAGCTGCCCCGGGCCCAGTTTCTCTTGGGGGGCCCGAGGCACCTGCCCCGTGGGCCCCGCTGACCCCGGCGGGCGGGTGGCCGGTCGGGCAGGAAGGCGGGCGCGCGAGGGAGCACTCAGTGCTTCCTCTTCAGCTCCCTCGCGCACTGATGCACGGGCGGAAGATGTGGCGTCATCTTCGGCCCGGCATCCCCTACCTTGGCCTTGTGAGAGCTGAAGGAAGCAGTGAGTGCTCCCTCGCGGCGCCCTTCTGACCGGCCACCAGCCCAGAAACTTCCAACAGCACCACACTGGACCTGGGGAATCCTCCAGCACTCAAAGGTAAGGAGGCTGGGATTACGACTAAAAATGTGTGTTTGTGTGTGTTTGTGTGTATGTGTGTGTTAGTGTATGTGTTTGTGTGTTAGTGTATGTGTTAGTGTATGTGTGTGTTAGTGTATGTGTGTGTTGAGTGTATGTGTGTGATGATGTGTGTGTGTTTGTGTGTATTGTGTGTATGTGTGTGTTTGTTTGTGTGTTGTTAGTGTTTGTGTGTTAGTGTATGTGTGTGTTAGTGTATGTATGTGTGTGTGTGTTTGTGTGTGTGTTTGTGTGTTAGTGTATGTGTGTGTTAGTGTATGTGTGTTAGTGTTAGTGTGTATGTGTGTTAGTGTGTGTGTGTGTTAGTGTATGTGTGTTAGTGTATGTGTTTGTGTGTTAGTGTATGTGTGTGTGTGTGTCAGCATGTCTGTGTGTGTGTCAGTATGTCTGTCTGTCTGTCTGTGTGTCAGTATATATGTGTGTGTATATCTGTGTGTCGGTATGTGTATGTGTCAGTATGTCTCTGTCAGTCGTCAGTATGTCTGTTAGTGCATGTGTATGCATGTGTCAGTATATCTGTCTGTGCCAGTATGTCTGTGTGTGTGTGTGTGTGTGTCAGTATATCAGTCTGTGTGTGTCAGTGTATGTGACTGTGTGTGTGTGTGTCAGTATTTCTCAGTGTATGTGGGTGTCAGTATATCTGTCAGTGTGTGGGTGTCAGTATTTCTGTCAGTGTATGTGTGTCAGTATGTTGATCAGTGTATGTGTCTGTGTGTGTGTGTCAGTATGTCGGTATATGTGTCTGTGTGTCAAAACGTTTAGTTGGATCAGGAGCAGCAAGTACAGGAGCATTTGTCAGAGCCGTCGTCAGCAGGGCCGTCTTTAACGCGGGGCAAACGGGGCAGCTGCCCCGGGCCCAGTTTCTCTTGGGGGGCCCGAGGCACCTGCCCCGTGGGCCCCGCTGACCCCGGCGGGCGGGTGGCCGGTCGGGCAGGAAGCCGAGGCCTTGTGAGCACTCACTGCTTCCTCTTCAGCTCCCTCAGCGCGCGCACCGCACTGATGCGGGCAGGAATGGCGTCATCTTTTGGTGGCATCCCCAGCAGCGGGGAATGGCCAATGGTCTTTGTGTTTAACACCACGGGACTAAGGGAGTAACCTCAAGGTAAGGAGGCTGGGGGATTATTAAAAATGTGTGTTTGTGTGTATGTGTTTGTGTGTGTTGGTGTATGTGTTGTGTGTTGAGTGTATGTGTGTTGGTGTGTCTTGTGTGGTGCAGTGTATGTGTGTGTATAGTGTATGTGTGTGAGTGTATGTGTGTGTTAGTGTATGTGTGTGTGTGTATGTGTGTGTGTGTGTAGTGTGTTAGTGTATGTGTGTGTTAGTGTGTTGTGTGTTAGTGTGTTAGTGTATGTGTGTTAGTGTGTGTGTATGTGTGTTAGTGTGTAGTGTATGTGTGTTAGTGTGTGTGTGTGTGTCAGCATGTCTGTGTGTGCTGTCATCTGTCTGTCTGTGTGCAGTATATAAGTGTGTATATCTGTGTGTGTCAGTATGTGTATGTGTCAGTATGTCTGTCAGTGCGTCAGTATGTCTGTTAGTGCATGTGTATGCATGTGTCAGTATATCTGTCTGTGTGCCAGTATGTCTGTGTGTGTGTGTGTGTCAGTATATCAGTCTGTGTGTGTCAGTGTATGTGACTGTGTGTGTGTGTGTCAGTATTTCTCAGTGTATGTGGGTGTCAGTATATCTGTCAGTGTGTGGGTGTCAGTATTTCTGTCAGTGTATGTGTGTCAGTATGTTGATCAGTGTATGTGTCTGTGTGTGTGTGTCAGTATGTCGGTATATGTGTCTGTGTGTCAGTATGTCTGTATATGTGCCTGTGTCAGTATGTCTGTCAGTACGTCTACCAGTGTATGTGTCTGTGTGTGTGTCAATATATGTACCTGTGTCAGTGTGTCTGTCAGTGTATGTGCCTGTTTATCTGTATGTAGTCAGTGTATGTATCTGTGTATCTGCTTGTGCGTCAGAGTGTGTACCTGTGCATCTGAGCCGCAACTTTAAATACAAATACACCCCTCCATTCAAACTTCAACACTACATATAAAACACACTCCTGCATTGAAACGTCAACACTACATACAAGCACACTCCTACATTCAAAAACAAACACTACACATAAATGCACACTTGCATTCAAACTCCAGTACCACATACAAACACATTCACACAAACATACTCCATACAAACACATGCTTACATTCAAACATACTAACATGGCTCAGTGCTAAATACAACCCTGCAAGCATGGGAAATTGGTAGAGTCCCAGCTGTCAAAGCATTGTTGGAGTTGCACGACAGATGGGGTTCTACCTTTAGTCCAACCTTGCAATTGGGGGTCCCAATAAAATTCATTCTACTTTAGTACCGCCACTGCGTTGGGATGGATGCCGTGATTGCATACCAGGGAGTGAGGGGCGAGAGCGGCAGGGCACAGGGGGCCCAAGCAAACACTTGCCCAGGGTCCATTCGTTATTAAAGACGGCCCTGGTCGTCAGTTGGTTAAATGCCTGTTCACACTCTGGGGCCCAGATGACCTGTCTGGGTAGGTTTTTACGCGTCAAGTCAGTCAGGGGCTTGGCCAGGGCACTGTAATTGGGCACAAACTTCCTATAATACCCGGCGGTACCTAAGAAGGCAAGGATTTGAGTTTTAGTCCTAGGGGTGGGCCACTTGGCTACGGCTTCAATCTTTGCTGGTTCAGGCTTCTGTTGCCCACTCCCCACTCGGTGTCCTAAGTATTGCACCTCCGCCATCCCTATGTGGCACTTGCTTGGTTTTAAGGTGAGCCCTGCCTCTCCAACCCGATCTATCACAGCCCCTATGTGGCGTAGATGATCAGCCCAGGTCTGGCTATAGATGGCAATATCATCCAGGTATGCACATGCATAATCCTGGAATCCGTCCAGTAGCCGATCCACCATCCGCTGGAATGTCGCGGGGGCGTTCTTCATCCCGAATGGCATGACTCAGAATTGGTACAAGCCAAACGGGGTGACAAACGCCGACTTGGGAATGGCGTCCTCGGCTAGTGGAATTTGCCAGTATCCCTTACAAAGATCTATTGTAGTGAGATACTGACCTCTGGCCATCTTATCTAACAGTTCGTCTATCCGGGGCATCGGGTAGGCGTCCGACACAGTTTTGTCGTTTAGCCTCCGGTAGTCCACACAAAACCGGGTTGTACTGTCTTTCTTGGGAACCAGGACTACCGGCGATGCCCAGGGGCTATCGGTGTGTTCGATAACCCCCAACTGCAACATCTCCTCAATTTCTTTTCTCATATGCTCCCGTACGGATTCGGGAATCCGATATGGGGTCTGCTGCATGGGAAGCTGTCCCGGGGTTTCTACTCGGTGAGTGGCTAGTGGAGTGTACCCAGGTAAGTTAGAAAAGGTGGCGCCCTTCGCCCTTATCAGTTCCTGTACTTGGGTGCACTCTTGAGGACTTAGCCACTCCCCCAGCTGAACCCCTTGGGAGGGCTCTTTCTGCTCCTCCTGCTCTAACAGATCTGGGAGAGGTAGGTTCTCCTGATCCTCCGAGGCGGGTGTGCAAATGGATGCCACGTCCTCGGTTCTCTCGTGGTAGGGTTTGAGCATGTTCACATGGAGCATGCGCCGCTTCCCTACCCCGGAGCATGGACCGATCACATAGGTGGTATCGCATCTCTGCTCTACCACCTGGTATGGGCCCTGCCAGACGGCCTGTAATTTGTCTGTGCGGACAGGTTTGAGAATTAGCACCTTCTGCCCCACTTGAAAACTACGGTCTCTGGCCCCCCTGTCATACCAACGGCGCTGACGTTGTTGGGCGGCCTGGAGGTTAGTGCACACTGCCTGGGTCAATTCCTCCAGGCGATCCCGGAACGCCAGCACATATGGTACAATAGGGGTCCCATCTGCGCTACTCTCCCCCTCCCAACGCTCTCTAATGAGGTCCAACGGTCCCCGTAGCATTCTCCCAAACAACAGCTCAAATGGGGAGAAGCCGGTAGACTCTTGGGGTACCTCCCTATACGCAAACAACAGATGGGGAAGGAACCGCTCCCAGTCCTTATGGGTCTCTCCGAATGTACGGAGCATCTGTTTTAGGGTACCGTTGAACCTCTCACATAATCCGTTGGATTGGGGATGATAGGCAGAATTAACGATCGTCTTAATGCCACAGATTTTCCATAGCTGCTGGGTGACCTCTGCTGTAAATTGTGTCCCCCTATCAGAGATAATTTCCTGCGGGAACCCTACTCTGGAAAAGATTTTCATCAGGGCTTCTGCCACCGTCTCCGCATGAATATTGGTTAAGGCAATTGCCTCGGGGTACCGGGTGGCGTAGTCCACCACGGTCAGTATATACCGCTTCCCAGAGGGGCTGGGTTTGGGTAGCGGTCCCACTATATCTACGGCCACACGGCTAAAAGGTTCCTCAATTAGGGGACACAGTTTCGATTTGTGGCGATCCCCTCTCTTACCTACCCGCTGACACACATCACAGGAGGTACAATAGTGCCTTACATCTTTAGAAATCCCTGGCCAGAAGAAAGCGTAGGTTAAGGGATACCGGGTACGGGTCATCCCTAAATGGCCAGACAGAGGGATGTCATGAGCTATTCTCAGTAACTCGGGTCTATATTTCTGGGGCACTACCAGCTGCTTAGTTTGTACTGTTACAGAGCTCCCTATCGCCCTTTCAGCTATCCGGTACAACAATTTGTTTTCCCAAATGTACTGCTCCCCCTCCTGCCCTACCTGGTCCGTGTCTACCCTATCCCTGTACACCTGCAGTGTGGGGTCTGTCTGGACTTTGGCTTCAAAGGTGGTCGGGGTGTCCCAGGTCATATGAGTCGAGAGGGGGGGCATGGTCTCTTACCTGAGCCTCAGAGTGTGCTGGTGGAACCGTGGTGCGAGCCTGTTGCCGGGTAGTTACGGGATGAGCTTCTTGCGAAGGGGTCTGAGGTACGAAGGCAGAAGTCATCTGGCCCAAGTCATTCCCTAATACGACATCTGCCGATAACTTTTTCATCATAGCCACTTCCACAACCCCCTGCCCAGCACCCCAGTTCAAATACACCTTTGCAGTGGGTAGACGGTACATGGCTCCCCCTGACACCCTGACTGCCACAGATCCGCCAGTGTGGGCTGTATCTGGGGCCAAATGTGGAACAACCAGGGTTAAAGTGGCTCCCGAGTCCCTCAGCCCCTGTACTTCTTTCCCCCCCCCACAAACACAAATTGACGGTGATGCTGCCTGTTGTCCGTGGCTTGCACAGACATCACCTCATACAAAACACCCAAAGGTTCCTTGGTCTGCAGGCTCATCAGCTCGGGGTTGTCCGGTTCTGCGTGGTAATAATGCGCTGCTGCCCTTGGGGTGGAATTCTGCCGCACTTGGTTCCACGCCTGTCTACTCCGATTCTGGGTGCACTCCCGGGACATATGCCCCCACTGATGGCAGGTATGGCATTGGATGTTTGCCCTTCCATTGTAGCGGGATGGTGGTGGGGGGTTCCCTTGTGCTGGCCGGAACGGAGTGGAGTTAGCTGGTGCGGAGGTGGTCGGGTGGTGCTGTACAGGTGGTCTCAGGGGACCCTTGTTGTTGGGCCCATGATGCCTCCTGGCATCAAAGTGTTGATCCGCCAACCGGGCGGCTTCAATTAGGGTGAGGGGTTTTCTGTCCCTTACCCATTCTTGTGCCTCTGGTAAAAGTCCGTTAAAGAACTGCTCCAGTAAAATTAGTTGGCGCAGTTCCTCCATGGTGGTGGCTTGGCTGGCCTGAATCCACCCTTGGGAAGCTTGGTCTAATTTATGTGCCCACTCAGCGTGCAAATCTTTTTCAGGCTTTCGCAATCCCCGAAATTTGCGCCGATATGCCTCCGGTGTGATGGCATACCTCTCGAGGATTGCCCATTTGACTTTAAAATAGTCCTTGCTGTCCTCCCTGGGGACAGCGCGATAGGCCTCTGCTGCCCACCCTGCCAACTTTCCTGCTAGCAGGGGCACCCACACTGCCTGCTCAAGGTCGTGCAGGTCACATAGCTGCTCGAAATCCTGCAGATACCCGTCAATTTCATCCTTCTCCTCACAGAATGCTTTAACCCCTTAAGGACCAAACTTCTGGAATAAAAGGGAATCATGACATGTCACACATGTCATGTGTCCTTAAGGGGTTAAACGCCTGGTGCGGTATCTTCTGTTTCACCGGAGCGCAGAATGAAGTAGCAATGGATTCTAACCTGGACGGTGCCCCCTGGTGCTGTTGCGCCATAATGTACTCCTGTACGTCTGCCATCAGGACGGTCAAGATGTCCAGGGGTGCTGGCTGAGGTACAAATTCCAGCCGGGTTCTCAGTTCCCTCTGATATGGGGTTTCCTCCCTGCTGGTGGGGGTGTGCTGTTGTGTGCTCGGTCGCCCTCCATTAGTTCTGCAATTAGTACTGCCTTGGATTTATTGCTAGCGCTTTTCCCTCTAGCCTCCAGCAGTTCCTTTAGCGTCTGCCTTTTTAAAGTAGTGTAATCAGTCTCCATTCACTGATCTTTTCTCTGTTTGCTGCAAACGAATTGCCATTCCCTTTTTCCGTTCGGTTGTTCCTTTCATTCGAATGCGCTGTTTCGGCTGTAGAGTTGGATCCCGTCGCTTGCCACCAATTGTAGCGGAACGCCAATATTAAATCCACAGTCAAGCGCTGGAAAAAGCAAGGCAATATCCCAAACCTCCCAGTAACTGGACAAAACACAGTTCTGAGAGTCAACTGAGGTCTTTATTTTCAGCTCCACAATTTATACAAGTCCCCATGCAAGGGGTTTCCTGAGCCCCTCCCAGGGG